GCAACACAATGGGCAAGGTTTGCAGGCAGGGTAAGAGCCAAGACACCGGAACGACAGTCCAGGGCTCATAGAACATGACCGGGCAGCTTCTAAAATGTGGTATGAAAAAACGCAGGCACCATACATAAAACTATTTGCAAAGAATAAACTTAAAAGTGTTGTTTTTTTTCATTTGATCTTTATGAATGTTTCTTAATTGATATCGTCCAGGTAAAATGTTCAAGTCATCTGATGTCCCCATGATTGTGGAATTTTTCTTGATGTTTCATGCTGACAAACCAATTGATTGGTTGATGGATCACTTCCTGTGGGTCAAAGTTTGTAACCCTGAGAAAGATGCAGTAAGTCCAATAACTCTAAATTCTTGTTACCTTGTTCTTAATTTTCCCAAAGTATTCTCCCCTCCCTCTTTCTTTCTCTCTCTAAAGATTTGTCTGTTTCGATAATGTTAAAAGATGTCTGGTCTGGTCTGTTGTAGTGTCTTATAGCTCTGCCCTTCAGAAAGTATTTGTTTTGATTGGACTTTAACATGTCGATCTTGGTCACCACATTTACATACTGTTCCAAGCCTGCTGTTGCAACACCTGTGGGTCAACACAATAGTGGATTATGTCAAATTTTTTAACTTGCTGTTAAATTTTATGTATAAAAGCTAACCACTTACCTTTGGTTATTTGATGTTTTCGGTAATCTGACACAGTCTACTAAACCGTCAGACTAGTCAACTGCATTTCCAAGATCAGAAAAATTAAGTTCATTTTAATCTACTCTAATTAATCGTTTTTAATTTTAGTATTAATAATTTGTAATTTCAATATTTATCATTTGTAATTTCAATATTAATAGTTTGTAATTTCAATATTTATCATTTGTAATTTCAATATTTATCATTTGTAATTTCAATATTAATAGTTTGTAGTTTGACTGTGACTGATTTGTACTTTGCTAAACAGAAACATTGTCAGAGAATGATTCAGTCTGTCAGAAGAAGATTTAAACCCTCTCTATTTCAACACATTGGAGTCGAGTCATCATTGCGAGGCAAAGTTCAAAAACTCAAGGTGAGAGTTCATTTTAAATGTTTTTATTGGTATTATATGAAACATCATATAGTCAACATTAGGGAAAACAAAAAAGCTACCAGCCTGGAATCAACCAGTCTTTTTTTTTTTTTTTTAAAGTCTGAGGACTGTTAAAAGTCTACAACTCAGGAAAGCTCAGTACTTTGATTGATTATAGCTCTTGGTGGTACAAGATTCTAAGAGTTCTTTTTAAGATTGTATATCAGTTTATAAGTCTAACAGAGGTCAGGTGATGATTGAAGTATCCCATAGTGTTTATTGATAAGGGGATCAACATTCCAGGTTGATGATACAACAGATGTCACTAGCATGTTGAGTAAATATCCTTATTCAAACTCTGTCTCTCTGGTCTATATTTATTCATCCCTACGATTTTGCTGTACAAATAGTCTAATGTCATGTTTAAATTAACAAAATAAGATCTTTATTTATAAATATAAATATTTATGTCTTGAAATTTCATTTATCAACTTGCAATCCCACCAGGATCGTGACTTTGGTAAAGCTGGTCTCTACAGAGCTCATGTCAACCCTGCAGTCCAGTTGGCCTCGTCGCTAAAAACGTACCAGAAATTTACTCTGAGTAAAGCGTACGTTGGAGAAACGTTCTTCTGGGCCTCCAACCCTTCCAAGGGAGACCTAATAGACTTCAAGTACACGCCACCTATACATGTGGAGATGTAAGTCACAGCTGGTCTTGGAGATTAGTCGTTTTAAATGGCTTTCTAAGAGTGCTCTTTTCAAGACAAAACACTATACTGCCAAACACTTATAATAGATTATATTATAGATGATAAAGATTTTATAAAGCCTGTTACACTGTGAGACAAGAAAGACTAAACCATTGTTGAAATCATTACTGTATAAGACACTGGCCCTGAAACACCCCAATAGAAAGAAAACTATATGGAAAGCTCCCAGATTTGGAAACCACTGTGCAGTTCATCTCATGTATTGGTCTAGTCATCTGAACACTCCAACATAACAATGAGAACGAGGAAGAAGAAAGAAGATTACTGTATATTTAATTTGTGCTGTTAAAATAAACTCATGTTTATGGAAGCAGCCAGATATAAACGACTGAGCAAGTAATTCATGAAGTGGTTGAAATTGTTTTTGATTAATTAGGTGTGGCTATAATTAGCATCAGCTGTGTGACTCATCCATTTGAGTGGATGTGAATTATTCTTAGTACTTAGATTCTATACTTAAACCCCAAAATGATGCTACAGGAAATATTTTAATTTTGTTTTCTTTGTAAAACTCAGCCTCATGTGTTTGCTATTTAATTAAAAAAGAAACTGGAAACAATGCTTGTATGAGACTGTTTCACCTCACCTCACCTGTACCTTGGTCTGTTGGGGCACCATGCAAGATTATTTCGACCGTCTTTCTTCATTTTTGTGTCTTTTCCTTAGTTAGAACCTCTTTCAATGACAGGCACGTCCATTCTTTTATGTTGTCTTCCCATCACTTTCTGTCTGCCTCTTCTTCCTTTTCCTGGTACAGTTCCCTGAAGGAAGGTCTTTGCAAGCCTCAAATACCTTGTAATATGGCCATATTAAATATGAACCCATGGTAAAAGCTGAACTGTAGCCTCTAGATTACCAAACAGACTCGACATTTGCTATTTCCACGATAATTAGCATCTGATATGTTTGCAATAAATATAGACTTTTTTTCTGTTCATTGTTGCTTGTATTCTGTGACTTTGACCTCTCTTTAACTAAATTAAAATTGAACACTAAATGGAATGAGCTCAACCTTTCTTGTTAAGTGTCAAGATAATAAAATAAATCATTTGGATAGAGGATGTAACTTACGACTATTGATTATAAAGTAATAGCTATTTAGGCATAATTTTTGGTATAAATATTTTAAAAGTTGTATGTTCTTGTTTTAGGTACTTGTTCCGTAGTGGTAATATGGACCATCCAGGTGATGTGTTCCACAATACCACTATAGAGATACTCACCCCTGAGGAAGTCTCCGATACTGTAAGGCAGCGAATCATATCACGTGCTGGCTTGAGTCAGGCAGAGATTCAGAATACTTCAAATGGATTCATTCCCATTGGGAAGTTTAATGACGATGGCCTTGCTCAAGGAGAGGTACCAGATGAAGTGGGGCTTGTGGATACAATCAGAATACATGTCCACGAGCCATCAGATGCTTGGGTTATACTGAGTGAGGTAGGTCTGTTTTTAATAAGATGACTTTTCAGGTTTTAAGAATTTCTTTTCATATGTTGATAGAATGTTAATGATTCTGGGAAAATTCAATTTCTGTGTCAGTTGGGAAATATCCATTCACTGTATTTTTTTTTAATCGATTTTATTTACTGTACACCTTTAAAATTGAAATAAAATAAAAGTATTTTGCCATTTCACATTAGATCAGTTTTTAAAAAATGTGAACAAAAAACAACTCAATAACTCAATTGTATTTCTTTAACTCAATAGCTTTGAAAGACATTTGAAAGTTATTTTTAATGGAATAGACATTTGCCCTATTTTGATACCTATTATTACATATTAGTATTAAAATACAAAATATGATACTTTAGGAAACAAATACTTAAATAAACAAAACTGCATTAGACATATTTTGAGATTATTGAAAGATTATTTTAAAGATTTTCAAGATCGTTCTGCTTAGAGCTAGAAAATAACAACTTTACTGGCTTCTTGAGCAAGCCAACATTGCAACTTTACTTTTGTAATGATTCAATTCATTATCTCTTCAGTTATTTGTTCTAAATGGGTATTTAGAGTTTCTTTTTTTCTCTCTCTAGATAATGATTCAAGAAAGTAAAAGATAACAGTGACAGATTTGGACATTCAACCAGATGCCTCAATTATTGTTACAGTCAAAGTTATGAAGCCAATGTTGCAGCCAATCAAAACCAAGAAGCAGTTGTCTTGATCCCATGATGCACTTGTTGCAGTGAACTATATATAAGACATCGTTGGAGAGCTCAAACAGAAAGATAATTTGAAATGTGCTTATGTTAGTTTCCAAGATTTCCAGCTGCATGAGACTGCGCAAGCTTTTGTTTCCTCAACGTATGAATGTGTTACAGACATTAATTTGATGGTACTTAATTCACTGCCCCAAACTGACAGTATGTCAAGTCCAATGGTTGATCAGCCAGTGAGAAACTGGTGTGAAATCCATTCTCTCAATGTCATGTATTTATTGGACAGGTTCTTGATAAGAAGTGTAGACACATTTATTTGTTGTTTTTTTTTGGGATGGGGGGGGGGGGTAAGGAGTCCACTTGAATTTTGCCCTCTGATTTCATTCAATGTTAGTTCCCGTTTTCAAGATGGATGCTTTTAACAAATGTCAATTTTAACCTACTCAAAGAAAATAGCTTAAGTCTCACTGCCCAATGTATTTTGTCTTGCTTTTAGCATTGCAACTGCCACCTACTTTTAATGTGTTAAGATATAAATCTAAACTTCAAAGATGAATAGAGGATGAAGTAATTTCAACTGGGCCTTAGAAAATCACAATTATTTTCTTTTTTTAATTCAACTTTAATTATTTTATATGAGGTCAATTACAGTTTAATTAAATATTTGAATGTAGGGTTTCTTAATGCATATTCTTGAAACTAAATTTGTTGTTATAATTAACAATTTGGGCGAAATGGCTGACTTTGGTTGGACAATATGTTCATAGTTCATAGTTCATAAATCTTTTGTTCTTCTTGTCCTGTTTTTTTTTTTGTTTTTGTTTTTTTTGTCAATTGTTGGTAGTACAATTCTAATGGCAACCACCCTAGTACAATTGTAACGTTGTTTTTCAGTCATTCTCATATGTAAATAGTTTCAGGTAGAGCATACAACAAAATTTGTTATGAAGTTTTCTGTCAGTTTGAAAATGTTGCTTGTAAATAGTTCGTGGAGAAATCTTTTTTTTTTTTTTTTTTTTTTTTTTTACACACAGAGATATCTACGACTGTGATTTACTCAGTCTGTTTAAATAGAGTTATATACCCTTTTTTTTGTGTCCCGATTCTTCTCATGTAATGCGTGGGACTGAAGGTTTTTTTTACTGTCCAAACCACTGATCGCCTAATTTGATTTAATTATGAAACACAATTGTGAGAATGCCGTTGGATGTAACTTCCTGTGATTGTCTCTACACAATTATTGTGACTCTAGCATGTATGGTTCTACTGTTTGTTTGTTTCTAGATAATTGTTTTTGTTTAAGCCAGAAATTAAAGTATTTTATCAAAGTATTTTAATAACAATGTTTATTAGAGCAAATTTTACATTGCAAATTCTAGTGAAATAGTATTTAAAAAATGTTTTGCTTAATTTATCAACTCAGAAAACTCTGGTTGAGGTGCAACCTATCGTTAGATATATGGTTCATATTGTCATTAGATATATGGCTCATATTGTCATTAGATATACGGTTCATATTGTTATGTTCTCTTACGGATTTGTTGCTCTTATGATTTCAACTACGCTGTCAGATGTGTGTTGCATACATTGAATACATGTGAAATGCTTTGTTTGGAGGAAGTTTCTTGTTGTCATGTCACCCCCCTCCCCCGGCCCCACCCACATGGATGCCCCCTTGTTCCCACAAGTCACTTGTTGTTATGATATCATTTGATGCTCACCTGAATTCTGTGATGTCCACTGGTTGAGTGACGGTGAGACCAATTGTTTATAGAAGGCCTGAACGCTGACCTGTGACATTACAACCTGTGGGTTGTGCAAACCAATACCTCATCTGCCATGTCACAGGTCTGCGATGTCGCAGGTCAGTGTCAGGCTTTCTATAATGATTGGTCTCGGTTACATTTACTGAATCTAAGCATGATCCATATTTCTAGTAATTATATGCTGTCTGCTAAGTAAATGTGTATATGCTTATTGTGTGAAGTTTATTTAGATCTACATACTTAAAAATTCGGTATATAAACCATTAGAAAATAAATCCATAGTGTGAAAGTGTTGCTATGGTTTAAGAATGGTTCTTTAAGTTGTGTGCCTGTCAAAATACAATACATTCCTAATCGCTGCCTATGTTCAGACACAACATGAAATTATTAGTTCAGGAAAGGAACATTCTCTTTTCTATTTTGATGCCCCTGCAGATTATTCACTTTATTTTAACTCTTGTTTTTCCATAATTTGCACATAGTACTTGATGTTGATTTAACTTTTATTTTAAAGATTCGTATAAATGGCAACGGCTAAAGTCTTATCAATTAATGTCAACAAAAATGTGATGTTCAAAAAGCTTCTGTGTGTATAGAATCACATAGTGAACAGAAATGTACATCAATTAATGACCAACAGCACTGTAGCCTCATCCCCTGGCATTAAAGTTAAAACCTACCATTTCTTGCTTGCTGATATAGTTATCTGCTCATGGATTGACCTATCAAGTTAGGTATGTTGCCTTACCTAACAAACAACTATTGGATGTTTATAACAAACTACTACATAACAGCCTTATTGTTATTGTAACCACACTTTTAAAACATAACAATAAGCAGTAATACTAAAGTTAGTTTTTTAAAGGCTTGGCCAATTATTATTTACAGTTTCATTGTGTCATTTAGATGCACAAAAGCCAAAGTATAATCAGAGCTGACTTAAATGTACATCTGTTTAAGTACATAGCAAATGTATTTCTATCTATGCTAGACGTTCTGATGTCACTTCTGTATTATATTTCTCATGAAAATTAGACAATGTTGTAGCCCAAAATGTTCCTGAGCAACTTTAAAATTTTCACTGAAGTATTTTTTATTTATTTTTTTTATTTTACTTGAGTTTTTCAGCTGTTTCACAGAGAGACTTGACTTCGGAAATTTTCTTTTGTCTCATAATGATGTCAGTATTTCTCTTCTGGGATAAGGACTAAGTTTATTTTGTGATTTCAAACTTGGGTTTAAATCATTTGAAGCTTAAAACTGGTTTAAAATATTTGATTTAAAAAGAATTTTTTTTTTTAATTTGGACCCACTCTGTGTATTAAATTCTATTCATCTTGGGTTTGGCTTGTGTCATCTAGTTAATTGATGTATTATAAATACTAGAAATCATATGAATTAGAAATATTTTTTCCTTCAGAATTTTTTTTCATGCCTGCTATTTGTCACCTAGAAACTAAAGCCAATTGTTTATATAATTTGCCAGACTTTGCTGTTTTCACTACTGAAGGAAGAGAGAGAGAGAGAGAGTCTTGATACTTTATTCTGTGGGATTTGACTGACCTGTTAGTGTAGAATTTTCACTGTACTTTATCATTAAACATATACAATTTCTAAACTATCCTTGCTTGTTGAAGTATGTGCTTGAAATTTGGTGAATCCAAAAACAGAATTGTTGTTTTGTTTACATAACTTTTGGATTGTTCAAGCCTGTTGGGAGGGCAGATATATAATAGGTTTAAATGCTTGCCTTAGCCTAAAGATATATTTAAATAGCACTATCCCCTAAACGTTTGGTAGTTTTAATTTGGCTGGACAGTGGTTCTGTGGTTGTCGAGCTGCTTGCGTGAGAGAAACTTGATTGTAGATTTGTTGGATGTGATTGTTGGGGACACTAAAGTAGTTGGTTGTTGTGAAGGCCACACACTCCCCTTTGAATTTTGTGACAACAGAATGAACATCATCATTATCATTTAGAAATCTATTGAATGGTTCAACCGATCCACATTGTAAATCCAAGTTTGTAAATTCATCCAGCATTTCCTTAATACACAAATTCACGCCAGAAGACATTATTGCCAAATCCTTTCATCGTAGTACTAAATGTATGCAACTATTTGTCTTGTCAAATGTTCGTTCCAATCATTTGCATTAGTCACAAATATGATTAAATGTGAAATTTGCGTTTCCCAAGGAATCATTAATTAAAGAAATTAAAGTTAGTAAAGAATGAAGTTAATGTGGCAACTAACTTTACATTTGACTGACAACTTACTTAAACTGACTTTTCTGCTTTCAACATAGCAACCTGGTCTCAGAATCACAGAGATGTAAAAACTGCTGCTTCATAAACATTTAATATCAATTTAGTTTACAGGTTTTAGATTGTCCAGGGCAGTCTATATACTACAAGTAGACAACAAATATTGCTGAATGATTCTGGAAGACAAGAAATGTACTACAAGTAGACAAAAAGAAACGTTGCTGAATGATTGTCATGGATTTAACAAAATATGCAGATCACAGCTCGTACACAGTAGCCGCATGAAATACTGCACTTCTCCGTAATCTTAGGGCTCAAAAACAAACTATTATTAGTATAGATTAAATTTAAAAAATAATCCAGTCTAATAAGTATAAATACATTTAATAGATAACAAACAAAATTTTAAACATTTTATTCTGATAGTTGAGCAATGAATCAATCATCACTTGAGATGCACATGAAATATTCAGATATTTCTGGTGCTGCCTAATGTATATTTAATTCAAATATGTTTTTTTAAGTTTAATAATTTCTTAGGCAAGTTAAAATGACCAAATTGTGCAACAAAAGAGAAACCCACTCAAATGTTGAACCCCAGTTACATACATAGATTGGATATCAAACTAGCAGGAAGCTAATCAATCAAGAATGGGAAAAAAACACTCATTGAACTTGAGAGAGTCAATCATTAAAAAAAACAAATATAAAAGTAAGAAAAACAATTCAGAAAAATAAAGAAATTGTCCCATACAATAAAAGCATTGCTATGTCTAAGTTAAAGTCATAAAAAAAAAATTTCTTTACAAGCAGACATGTACAAAGTTTTCAAATTTGTGTCTGCCGTCTGTCAAGTAGTTTGAAGAATTTTGGTTGTGAAATAATTTACATGGCTGGCTAAATTAGAGCTAGAAAATGTTCAAAAATGTGTTGCATATTTTAGTATCAAGACCTAACTAGTCTGTGTATAAATCTTAACACCATTACAGTGTGAGGATCTAAACTCACAAGTATTGAGAGAGTCACGTCTGCTCCATGCAGTGAACATTTCCTAACTCTAACCCAAAAGATTTCTGGTAACAGATCTGCAAGTAATGTGAACATAGACTAGACATTGATGATTTATGGAATGGTCATTTCTTGTAGAAACATTGTCACTTCCTATTGCACAAACATTTGATTGGGTTGCAATGAACTGGTACAACAGGGGAAAAAAACTGAAGCCTGATACAAAGGTTTGGACTAGTTGTATTCCGCTAAGAAATATTTTCTTCTCATTTAAAAGACATGATGTGAGTATTGTCACAATAATATCACAGTTCTACATCTATGTAAATATAAATGTACATTACATACACGCATAAATTTTTTCTCTTATGTCTAATCCAGGATAAAAGGAAAAAATTCACTACCTTTTAGTGCAAAAGAGACACAGTGGCTGAGTGGTAAAGTGTTTGGCTTCTAAACCGGGGATGCCAGGCTTGAGTCCTGGTGAAGACTGGGATTGTAATTTTGGGATCTTTAGGAACCTTTGAATCAACCCAGCTCTACCTGACATTAGTTGGGGAAAAGTAAAGGTGGTTGGTCATTGTGCTAAAACCATGGGCCACAGAACAGATGACCTTTACATCATCTGCCCTATAGATCACAAGATCTGAAAGGGGAACTTTACTTTTTTAATGCAAAAGACTATAAGTTTCATTTCCCACCATGTTTGGAAGTCATCAAGTTTGTACCATGTTTGTATTATTCCCCTCCAGTTGTTTACATGCCAAATCTCAAGGTACCAACCTCACAAATAGTACACCATAATTAAAACAATGAAACAGAGTGGCAGCCTACACAAACTTAACAACATGCCATACAAATTTCAAATCTGATGATGTGTTAGTACAAGTTCTATAACTGCATACAATCACTACCTGGTCTCACAGTGCCAACCTATCCATTGACACTGTGGGCTTACAATCAAGTACTAAAAATGTTAAATTAAACATGGAAGTTGTACGCTAATGACGCAAATAAATAAATAATAACATTGTGTGGCTCATGACTATCATAGGAATAGAGTGGGCTAGAACCTACAAGGGGAGAGAAATGCTAAGAACCAAAACATACAGAAGATCAGTCGACCAGGTGGCAAAGATGGTGGGAGGGAATAGCCTAGAACTGAGTCAGATGGGGAAGTCAAACCTGCAACTCAAAAGGACTATGTCAAGTAAGACAAGTCAAGCATGACTACCACAAGGCCATTTGAGAAACTTAGTGACTGGCAAGTTAAACTAAACAGTTTATCTAAATCTAACAATGCAAATGTTTAGCTACAGATAGCCAGATCATTACAACTTACGAATTTCTTTAAATTCGTTTTTGAAAGTCAAAAACAAATTGCTTCAAAACTCAATATTTAAAAAAAAAAAAAAAAAATTCAAATTTTTTAACTATTATAAAACATTTTAGTGATCTAATTATGTAGATAATAACAGAATGTTTAACAAATTTAATATAGAGTGGGTTTCTTTACTTACTAGATAAAAATAGTTTAAATGAAATAGAAATTGAAGAAATCATTTGAAATTAGCCCGATATTTACACAACTTTCACACCCATTTTAGCATTCACACCATTAAGTATTTTTAATAGCAACCAAGAACACAAGTTTATATTAATTTTTGTAACTTTTGTAATAAATAAATATTACTTTTTTTCCAACAACTTTCAAAATTAAAAAAAAAAAATGGCTTTCTCTTTTTGTACAGGTTAGCTATATTGGGGGGAAACTACAATGAACGCTATAATGTGCAGATGGATGAAGTGAGTTTTGTAAAAGTTGGAAAGATGAACTGTGGCACTCATTGCAATAATTTCTATTTTAACTTTAAACAAAAATGTGTTTAAACTAAAGCCAAGTCTAGTTTTCATAACATGTACCCTCTAAGTTTTCAAAAGACGCACCCTCTAAGTTTTATATGCAAGGTCATATTGTATGCTCTTCCAACTATTATATCAATGCTCTCAAGGTCATTGGTCATTGTGCTGGCCACACAATCAAAGTAAAGTTCCCCTTTTCAGGCCTTGTGATCTATAGGGCAGATGATGTTAAGGTCATCTATTTCTTTGTCAACGGTTAACAAGCAGGGTGTTGTATGGCCAGCACAATGACTAACGACTTTTACTTTCCACGACTAGAGTCAGATACCCATCAGAGTTGGGTGGACTCAGGGGCGCCCTAAAAATCTCAGAATTCAAAATCCCAGTCTTTACCAAGATTTGAACCCAGGACCCAGGGTTTGGTAGCCAAGCGCTTAACCACTCAACCAACACCTTTTCTAGGACATAATAATCTTCATTTTTTAAAGGAAGTCAGAAACAAAACAGACCTTCTAAAACAATAGTATTAATAAATGTTTTAATGAACAGCCCAGTGAACTTTCCTGACTAGAATGTTTCATGGTGTTGTAGAAAGTGATCGAATTGACTATCAAGTTTCAGGATTCAAACTTTTTTATACAGTGAATAACTTACATTTTTTATTTGTCCAGCCCTATCCAACTCAGCCATCTGCCAGTCCCAAGCCCGGGTGAGAAAGGAGGAGGGTTTGGTGTCAGGTTAGAGGTTAGTAATTCCACCCTGTAAAACCTCGATTGCTATAGAAAGTGGCAAACTTTAAACATAAAGAAGTAAGTAATTAAGTCTTATCCAACTATTCCCAGTGCCAAAGTTTGTTTAAATCTAGAAAGTTTAAATGGTGAACTATTTTGCACAAATCTAAAGATCACATTTCTAACAGATGCCATTTATTTTGGTAAAATGTTTGTAAAATGTTTTACATGTTTCAGATGTTCCTTCAGAGTTGAAGACAATTTACTTCCTAGTCCAATCCTCCCACAGAATGACAGGGCATGGAAGCTGGCAGGGTATGAACCTGGGACCATCAAGAAGTACAAACAACAGTCCAGTATGCATTCCACATGACCTGGCAGTCTAATACATGACTAACAAATTATGATATAAAACATCATAATCACTTACACAAACAGACATTCCAGCTGTTTCAAATATTGAGTTACAGAAATCAACATGAAATAATAAATTATCAATAATGAATCACTACATTCTTTGGTATCAAGTCCTATGAAGTCTCTAGAACTAAGAGACCAATAGCTTTATGCAATTGAAAGACACTGTCATGATAGAGTATTATGTGTAAAACTAGAGATTTAGAAAATCCTATTACTGAAGTGTAAAAACATTCCAACTGAACCATGTGACAACTGACTAGTTTCCATCCAAAGTAGCTTTTCTCAAATTCAATCATTGGCCATCACAGTTTTTATAAGTCTCCATGTTGATTG